GGGTCGCAGGACGGTGAGCCGAGGACTTCAACAGGGCAACTTTTTCTTCGAAATGATAAGTCATGTTGCAAACAACAGAAATGACATAAACGACGGAAAAGTCACCAATTTTAGAAAAGATGGAAACGACAAAATCGAAAAAAAACACGGAAACTCAGGAAACTTAGAAATCGACGTTAAATTCGCAAACGAGAGATACGGACCAAACAAAACGTAATACAAGACTCAAACGATTGAGACAAAAGAAACGTGAACAACAAGAAAGACGGAAGTCAACGGCGACGACAGGAACGACCCGAACGGTTAATCCTATGGGCAAGCTTGCCTCTAGCGGTACATTTCATCTGTTGTCGATGCTGCCGACCTCGACAATATCCTCTCGATACCCCGACCCAGAAGACGAGCCTCCGAGGGAGCTCACCTGACCGAGAGGACTCAGTCGTCAGCTGTGTTGAGCCGAGAAGGACCGACAGACTCGGACTGCCCGCTGTGAAACAAGACACTTGGAGAAACTCTCCTCGCTCGGCCACTCGTTTGGCCGCCACCTTGCCTCCAGGCTGGCTCGACGGCGCGTTGTGGGGGTAAGCGAGCCCATTTAAGGCTTGAGGGTAGGCGAGGTGATCAGGCCAGGGAGGGACTGGGAGTGGAGGGAGGGAGGGGAGACAGGGGGGCGACCGTGAAAACATGGCCTTGGAGCCAGGGGACCTGGGGAAGCGACTGTTGAACTGAACGGAGGAGTCGGGCTGGCGTTCGAGGACAAGACGTGGGGGTCGTCATGGTTAATGATGAGCTATTGCTGACTATTATATGGTTTCTCACTTCAATGAGCTTTCGCTTCACCTCATTTGTCAGGCCTGACATCTGTACATGAGCTGAGCAGACCTGTCTCCTGGTGAGTTTCATTGTGTTTGGATGTGTGTATGCACGTCTCTCGGTGCTAGGGGTTTAATAAGAATGTGTGCATGTGTTTTCATTGTCACATGCGTTTTCATTGTATACATGTTCCCGTGCGTGTGTGTGTGTGTGTGTGTTTATAGGGAACGGAGGAAAGTGAACTCTCATTTAAACTACTGTAAGAAAGGCGTTAAATTTCCACCATCTGTCTTCTCTTTTTTTGTTGGGCGAGGAGGCGGGGCAGGGATCATCATGTACAGGCGAGAGAGGTGAAGCGAAGCGGAGGGGGCTCAAAGCGAGAACGGTGAGGATTCGAATGAGGGGCGGAGCCGATGGAGGGAGCTCGTGATTTGGCCGGCACATTTGGGGGCCAGACTGAAATATGATTGAGTTCATTAAATAAATCG